AAAGAAAGCCGGCAAGGTATTTCAGGTTAGACCCCCTTTTATCGCTTCCTCAGCGCTCGTGGCTTCTTTCCTTTATTTTTGTATGATATTTTAAACACGCTTTTTAAGAGAAGGGAGGGAAGAGAGCTCACCCACGTTTGTTTGCAAAAAGCTCGAGAAACCGGTTCGGTTGCGGTTGGAGGTAACAAGGCAGTTCAGACAGCGGTCAGAGGCGGTGGCTGAACTGAGTGGTAAGGAAGACGTGAAGGGCTCATTTCGATTTTAGCTTCAAAACCAGTCTGGTCTCTTCCTCCCCACCAGCCCGGACAAAGGCTCAGTTTTACCTTAAAACCAGAGACCCAATCCAGGAAGTTGAACCCGCTCAGCTCCAACTACTGGATCCCGAAGCGAAGTTTCAACTGAAGTCCAATGAAGCTCCTGTACAAGTCCATTTTCTCTTTATTGAGGAGGTCTGGATCCCGTGAATTCTGCTTACCCCCGAAAGAGAGTCTTTTTCTGATTCTGTTTTATTGATTTAATGACATTTTAATGGAAGTTTCTTGTAAGAATCTAATTCTTAAAGCGGTTAATTTGCAAGCTCCCTTCTTGGGGTGGATGGGAACGAGGGGTTGCTAAAGTAATTTGAGGACTGAGTTTATTGGGTTGAATTCAGAGGATTTTACCCCCAAGTAAATGGCCATTTCGTGGATGTCTATCTGCTGGGAAATCTGGGGCTTCATTGAGATCCAGGAAGAACCATCGCTTGAGCCTGTCTGAGGTGCATGGAATAGGCCCAGCCTAACTTGAGGCCAGCGAGGGATTTGGGATATCAGGGCAGTGGAGTTGCTTGAGAACTGGGAAATGTGTCAGCACCGCTGCCTTGGGGAGGGTGAAAGGAGCTTGGATTTGTTGTTCAGCTTGAAGCAGGCAAATGTCTTGACTCCTCAGCTAGTCAGGCTCTTACTCTTGAATAAATGAACCCTGGGATTGCTGTTTGCTTCAGGTGAGAAAGAACTAGATCCTTTAATCGGCTGCCTTAGGCATACTTCCATGAAAGTAACTCTTACTGGATTGCACAGATCATCCTCCCTCTTCCCCAACCTTCGGGAAGACCGACTTCCTTCCTTCCTTCCTTCCTTCCTTCCTTCCTTCCTTCCTCTTTTTGAAGTGGGCACTTTTTGGCTGGGATTGCTCGCAAGGCAGGCGAGACTAACATGGGATTGGCTGCTTTGTCATTTGGCATGTGGGGCAAACGTGTTGAGGGATCTCTGACCCACCAGGGTTCAGATGTCAGAGGAGGGTTGCTTGTCCGTTGAGTGCTAGAGAAGATGTGCTAAAGGCCCAAGGAAGGATCGCTCTGGAACAAGTGGGAGGTGGATCGTGGCTCCTGTATAAAGGCTGGAATGGGGAGGTTGTTTTCTTGAACATGAACATGAACATAATGCGACAGATATGGGAGAATTCGTGGAAATGATTTCTGGGCAAAAGGCACTAGATCAGGCTGCACAGATGCACGAACAGCAGTAATAGTGGTTTTGTGTTCTCTATCCCAACTCCTGACCATGTCATCTTTGCAACCTCCTGGTGAGGTAGGCTGCTCTGGGAAGACCATCTGATCTCAGGTGGATCAAGTCAATGTCATGACTGTACATTAGGATTTCAAAGGAACCCCAGACCACAATTTCTAAGGCCTCTTCTCCTAGTAATACAGCCTCTTCAGACTGGATTGCTTCTTCCAAAATTTCTGATGCCATGGCAAGGGATTATGGGAGTTGTAGTCCCAACAGACTAGCCACCCTGCTGTTGCTTTGGACCTCGGCTCCCATAATCCGTGGCCATTGACCACACTGCCTGAGAGTTTCTTTCTTTTGGAGTTCAGTTTGCAGAGGGGGATGAAATGTCCAGGTAGAGTTTTCTGGGGGGTGAATTTGGAGAAGCAGGAAAGGTTTCACACGGGAGAGCCTGCTGGGCCTCCAACTCCCACCAGACCCAACCAGCAGGCCGAGGATGATGGACGTTGCAGCCCTTGGAGGACCACAAGGTTGCTGAAACTTCCATAAGAAAGGTACCTGTGATTTCACACATGGATCAAACTCCAAAAGGCAAGACCTGGTTTTGTTTATCCACAGGCAGGCCTGGCTGGGGATTTGGATCCTATCTGAATCAACACCGGGTGAGCTTTCCTGAATGTCACCCCACAGATCTGAAGTCACTCCAGTTTGGTGTGTGTTGTCCGGGGGGGGGGGAGGTTGAGGCTGGGAGCAGAAAGCGAAGTGTGATTTACTCAAGAATTATTAAATTATTATGGAATTATTGTGAGCCGGAGTTAATTCTGTGCGTCCTTGGGGGTGGTGGGGAGTAAATTCCCTTAAAGGACACAATTCTGCTCTCCTAACAGAGTACAAGCTACTCTTTTGGCCTCAGCAGGTGTCAGTCCTGTGAACAGTAATGGTCACTTTCCTCTGATTCCCCCCATGTTTTATTCACATGTTACTTTCAGGGAACAGTTGGCCCAACCTCTTTGCACTGAAAAAGGAGCAGCCAAATCCATTTTAGGCTGACGAGGACCCTCCTCCCACGCAGTTTTCATCAGGAAAAGAAAATCGCCAGAGTGAGATGCTCTAATCTGGAAATTTGTATCGATTTGCCATTTAAAGCTAAGCATAGGGAAATAAAGGGTTTGGAGAAATGCAGGCTGTGTTTTGATCGCATCCTTCATTTATTTGGAAACGAGAGGTTAGTGGCACTCATACCCCTAAGGCGAAGGTCCTTGGCTATTGCTGACCCTAACCCTGACACCAACTACCCTAACACAAGTCAGAGAAAAAAGGATTTCCTACTCCTTCGCTCAGACAAAAATGCAAGAGAGCTACCTGGCTTGGTGGCACTTCCCAAAGACCAACTGTGTTGGCCTGCAGGTATGGAAAGGTGTTGGCATGAGAATGCTGTTCTCGGCTTCATAAACAACAGGGCAAGTGACTAATGGTAAACTCCTTGGACAATCACACAGGCCGATCAGAAATACACACCCATTACACAGCTTTTTAAAAACATTCCTTCAAGCGTGGCAGAGCAAAAACTGTTGGTCCTTTGAGATCATGAGGACTAGTAACACGTTTTAAGAAACGAATCAATTAATAAAAATCATCACAGCTTGGGTTTTAGGAAATGTTCATAAGGGAGAAATCGGGGGGGGGGGGGG